AGTGTGCCTAAATAAAGTAAACATGAACATGCGTGCATATTTGTGCATATTTGCAACATTTAACTCAAGTATTACTTTACCTTACTGTAGTTTACTAGTTAAACTTATTCCGTCACTCTTATACAGATCATTTATTGTTCAAAGCTCAACCTTTATGCCTTTGCCTGCTTCTGTGTTCCTTACACAGAGAAACAGAGAGAGCTGGCTAGGAAGGGCTCGCTGAAGAACGGCAACGCTGTAGGTAGTCCAGTCAACCAGCAGCCCAAGAAGAACAATGTCATGGCCAGAACACGGTAAGATGCGAGCAGTCTCATCGTGGGGTCAGTCGAGAAATTACAAGAAGGACTTCTGTTGGCTGGTTGTTATTGATAAACAAAATCTCAGTAATTAGAAGTTTCTCACAGCAAACCTCATACAGTGCAATTTACGTGTTGAAAGAGATTCATGTGGTGTAATTGTGTAACTGTAGTAGCTTTAAGTATAGGAGTACTGTAACAATTGTAATGATCCAGCCTGAAGTGAAGCCACAGAAAAATACAAATAAAGATGCTTAGGTGTGACAGTATTTCAAATGTAGAAATTAAGCTTATTTTGTTCTTTCTAAATGTGCCATGTGTGGAAACAAAAATGTGTTTTAAGGCTGTACAAAAAAAGAGTCGTACTGATGTAGGGTTTGTAAGATGTCTGAAGTTAGACATTATACTGCTTTCACGCTTCTGTTGTTCCAGTGATTCAGCTGTGACGCTGCCTCCAGGCCTACTTTTCATTTATTTCAACATCTCTGCCAGTCCTGTTTTTGCTCACTTCTTACAGCTTGTGAAACTGTTTTTTCCTCCTCTGCGCCTGATCTCAACTCTCTCTCTTTTCCCCTCAATGCAGGTTGGTAGTTCCCAATAAAGGCTATTCGTCTTTAGACCAGAGCCCGGATGAGAAGCCTTTGGTGGCCCTAGATACAGACAGGTGGACACACAAACATCTTTCTTTCTGAGAAGCACATAAGCAAACATTAATGATATTAATATAGTATCCTGTGTTTTTCTGTTTCAGTGACGATGACTTTGACATGTCTAGATACTCCTCGTCGGGATACTCTTCAGCCGAGGTAAGAGCTTGTGCTTCAGCAAATATCAATGCATCCCACCCCCTTGTATTTACTCTCATATTTCCCCCCATCTTCCATAATTATTAAGAGGCTAAGTGTTAGGGTTTTACAAGCCAGTGTTAAAACTATCCATGGCAATTCTGTGGGCATGTACACTCCCTGCAAGCGCATGATTACACTGCAGATATATCTGCAGACAAATGTGTATTAGACACAAAGCTGGATACAAATGAAATGTGATATCTGCATGTCTGCTCCTGCAAACCTTGTTTGTAACGCTGCTGCCACTATAAGTGCAAATTGCAGACGCATCCTCATATTTATAACCTGTCTGTGACGAGTCTAAGCTTGTGGGTTTTGTAGGGTGAGTTTTACAGTGTCAGATCCTAATTCCAACATGCTGTCAGAAATGAATAGCTAATGCACGTTACATACTTTAAAGCACTTATTTGCTCTCTTAGTTCCAGCTAACCTGGGTGTAACAAGTACATATACAGTTACTGTTTCCACTGCAGGCCGAACAGAGGTTGTTTGTTGTGCTTATTGTTGATAGAGTGCAGAACAGCATATAGATGAAATGACTGCACACTTTTTGTGCAAACAAAGGAATTATTTTGGTTATTTAAAAAAATCACAGCAGGAACAGTAGTTATCACGCTCCAAGTGATGATGCTTCCAGCCATCTGTGAAAGTGCCCAATCTCACTTTGCCATGGTTACCACTCGAACTTTTAGCCAGTCTAAATCACGAGCATAGACAGTCCTAATGTTTGTTGTTAATGTTAATGTTTTATTGCATTAGTACAATCAGATTTTGATTTACCAGTGATTTATATAAACATATCTATTTTTTTCTTTTCTTTTCCCTACCTGTCCTCCTGTGTGCTTTGGAATTTTACTTTCCTCCAATTCGTATGTTCCCAACCATGCAGTTTGCACAAATTATGTCCTGGAGCAGTGTTTTAAGGACCAAATTAAAACAATTAAAACACAAACACACGCTTTTCCTGCTTTTTGCAAAGAAACTCCTAAAATGTTTAAAGGGATTCTCAACATTTTAGGAAATAATGGACCTTTTGCTGGTAATCAGTGGACACTCAGAGGAATTAGATAACCTGAGCACATATAAGAATGGTTTTAAAGGTTGGGTCATTCAGTACATCATACAAACTAGATAAAACATGCCAATTATTAAACTTTTGAGGTGTAGATTTTGTTACCTTTCTGCTAAGCCTGTAGCTGCTCTCACAAATATCTCTCCTTTATGATAAATTAAAATACCTGCCTGCTAACTTGAGTTAAGTTTTTCTTATACATACGAGAGTGGCACTAATCCTCTCACCTAATTTTCTGCAGTAAAGCGAAGAAGTACACTATCTCAATAAGCTGTCTGAGACTGTCAAACATTAAACAGCTAGTTCAACAAAATAAATAAATAAAAACACAGATTAGATGAGCCTACTACTAGATGTTTGCATCTACTCATCATGTCATGGTATTTCTATGGGCTCAAATTGTGGGCATAAATCTTTTGTACTGGTAAATTAGGATTTGTGTGTGTGTAAAAAAGATTTAAACTGTATTACCCTTCAAGGACCTGCAGTTCAAAAAAGTGCCCCTCCGACAGCCAAACCCATCTGTTCTCTGATTCGATAGTTAAATTTGTGATTGACATGATATTGACCAATCAGCTGAAAGGAAGAAAAATAGGGTCAAAATCCGTACTTGTAAGTTGAAACCTGAGTGCAGAGTTTCACAAGTGTTTTTTGGCTATGTCCACATGCAAATCTTTTTTACGCACACACAAATTCTTTTTACACATACAAAACTGATTTACAAGTACAAAATATTTATGACCGCAATTTGAGCCCATATATTTCTATAAACTTTTCCAGGGTGGAATACAGCATATATTGACTACAAATGGTAGTTTCTGTTTGCCATCCTAAACAGGTTTTGTTTAACAGCAGTCACTGGACTGATCAATACTCAGATTTCCAAAGAACTCAGCGAAAATCTAAGAAGAACTGTAGATTGTAGATTCAGGCTTTCAAACTTAAGAACACTGTACCAGCTGTCAAGCATGGTGGTGGTAGCATCATGCTCCGGGGCTGTTTTGCTGTCAGAGGAACTGGTATATTGCACAAAGTGAAATAATGGAAAACAACTTCCATTTTCTTAAACTTCACTGCAAATCAAAAGCTATGCAGTTGAAAATTAAACACACACTGGGTTTTCCAAAAAGACAATGACCCCAAACGCATCAAAACTGAATTTAGAGTGGAAAAAGCAGGTTAACATTAAGTTTCTGCAATGGTATTCCCAAAGCCCCAACCTCATTCTGTTCGAAAATCTTTTGACTATGCTTAAAAGCCGGATCTGTGCCAGCAAACCAGAAATGTAAATGACTCCAAAAGAACTCTAAGGAGCTTGTGGAAGTGGGAGTTGTCCCTTAAGAGGGTCATTGGCCCACTATTGATCATGTGCCTCATCACATGAGCCAAGATGTGAAAAGGGTGTGGGTCATTATCAGGAGAGGTTTTGGGTGCAACGATTGTGAGATCTTGCTTCACCCTATCATTTGAACCATTGAGATCACCTGATGCAAGATGTGAGTGGGCGTTAAGGCATCTGGGAACAGATCTCAAAACTGGATTGTAGGTGGCAGACAGCTGGTGTCGTAAGGCACCCCCTCTGTTCAAAGATGATCGTTCACAGTGGACATAGATGAGGCCATCTTTTATCCTCTTTCAAACCAGCTGTCTTCTCTGTCCAAAATGTGAACATTGGCCTCCTCGAATTAGGATCATCATCATCATAATGGTTTGTCCCAAGGACAACTCTCCCAAACACAAACTAAACTACGTAGTGTATACTATGCAGTGTAATGAGGAGTTCTCAGTCTTCTACATTAGACAAACCAAACAGCCACATAGAAGAGCCACCTCGACAGGACAGGAGTCAGCTGTACATCTGGATCTAAAGGATAAAGGTCACTCTTTCTTACCATGACCTTCACGCCCATGATGGGTGGATGTAAACTCCTGTCCACCACTATTTTTTCACTAGAGTCACATGATTTTAGTAATTCGTTGTGTGACAGGAAGGGAATCAGCACATAAAGTTACATGTTTGGTCTTCATTACTTTTTGCACATTCCAGCTTTTGCAAAAGCTCTGCAGCCCGGTGATCTGCAACCCAAGGGTTAGTAAATGATGCTGTAACTCACTGACCTCTCTCTGTGTCCTCTCATTTTTCAGCAAATCAATCAAGATTTGAACATTCAGCTGCTGAAAGATGGCTACCGCCTTGACGAAATCCCCGACGACGAGGACCTGGATTTGATCCCACCCAAATCAGTCAACCCTACCTGCATGTGCTGCCAGGCAACCTCCTCTACCACCTGTCAAATACAGTAACTCTGCCTTTCCAGCCTTCTGCCCCCCCCCCCCCCCCCGCGCTCTTTTCCACACAACATGAGCTCCCCTGCCCTCCCGTCTTTATCTGCTGTGACTTTACTTCGCCATGACAGTGGCGACAGTGAGACCTTGTTAGAATATCGTAAGTGCTATGATGATATTGACAACAACAAATAATCAAATTACCTTATAGAAACCTTGGTTTAAAATCTAGGAGAATGACCATATTTGAAATTAATCAATATGTAATAAAAAGATTAGTAAAGTGGTGGTTTCCTCCTATGGTAGGACTTGCACTTGTGTTTGAGAGCTCTTCTCCTGGTCAACATGATTTAACATAACACACTGATAAAAGCTGACAAAAAAGAAAAGTTTGTTTGATGCTCTAAAGTGATTTCAGTTTCCCAGAAGAATAAGAAACATTATCATAACTGACTCAGCCGTTCTGTTTACCTGAATTCTGAGTTGCATATATATATATTTTATTTTCTAGTTTGTTTGTTAGTTTTTTTTTATTTAAACGCTTACTTTTTTAACCTGAGGGATAATTAAAATTGAATGTGCTGATGCTCAGATATTTGATTGTGTCGTAGAAGTCTGATTCTCCAAACAGAGGAAACTGTATTGTTGTTGTACCTTAAGGGGTTAATATGTAGCACAGACCAGGTCATTGCACTCATTAACACCACCTTCAATACTTCTGCTCTCTTTGCCTAAATGGCAAAGAGAGATGTGGCATCACAGAGTTTAGGAGTGAATGTATGAAATCGAATAGCTGAGGAACAAACTGCATGAAGAGCATCTGACTGAATAATCCAATGGTAAATAATGAGCAAGTAGCTTTTTTGCACCACAGTTAATTTGTGCAATCACACGCTACTGTTGTTGCATTGTTTTCAATTTGCACATTTTGCTTTTTACTTTTTTGGGGAGCCTTTATCATTGTACTGTTTCCTGCAGAGCAGTGAAAATGAACTGTGTAGAAAGGGATGATTGCATATTGTTTCTTGCTCTGATCCCCACGTTATCAAGGCCAAAGCAACCTGATGATCACCGGACACCCTCCTTCCCATTTCTGTGTCAGTGCCACAGATCATTAGGTGAACACAGGGTCACACACCAGAGGAGGTGTACTTCGAAGTGAGATTAATGAGCTAATGAGCTATCTTAAGCTTAAAGTCAGAGATTTCAGTGTTAGAAAGGTTGCTCTGTTTTAACCTGACTAAATCACCATGGTAAATACTACTGATCGCCAAAAAACGAAAGCCAGACTTAACAAAGGCAGCTGACAGCCACTGTTGTGGCATTTTAGGTTTTGTCAAGCCAACTAACACAAAGATAACCTGGCTTTGTTGAATTTGTTTCGTGGTATACATCTTAGAAAGATGACCCAACACACACACACACACATGCATGCATAAAGACCTACAATGCCAAAATAATAAGTAAGACAGCATCGATTTCTGTTTCAAACAGAATGAAAATCGTTTATTGCAACATCATGGATCGTTGACTTGGAGCACTAATGCCCTTCATTTACGACCCTCTCTCCTCTAAATTAGCTGTTGATTTGCAATTATATGCCTTAAGTATAGAAAAAACTTAAAAGATGTCTGTGTTCCATCTTGATTAGTTTATTTGAAGAGCATTTGCTAAGAAGTTATGCTTTTTTTTTCTTTTTACATTTAGACACAAGTGATAACTGTTTTTCTTTTCTTTTCTTTTTTTAAAAAGAAAAAAAAGATTTTCTTGTAACGTAAACACTTCCATTACAGTATTTAACAATGTTATGTGCAGTGTATGAAAACGACAAATAAACAAAATGCAAATGAAACAGCGTCTGATGTGCTTGGTTATCCATAATAACATTATTCATAATTTATTATGGTAATATATAATAATGGCTGCATAGTGTGACTATGGGTGTGAGACGCGAAAAAGAAGAAAGAGGCGAATGCTTAAAAAGAAAAAAAAAACCCAAAAGGATAATTTTAATGTTAAAACATTTGAGCAACAATTATTACACAGGTATGTGTATTGCGATAGCATGGGATCTGCATTGACAGTCCCTGATTACAGTACAGTAGCATCAGAAGTAAGGGCTTCAACCTGAAAGGCACCAGCATCCAATCACAGTCATCATAATGCCAGAAAAGAAGAAAAATAAAATAAAATAAGCATTTCACTTCACAAATATATGTAGTTTGTATTCTACAAGCTACAGACTCTATTTGGACATTTGAATGCATCGCATGACAAGTACAAAAGAAAACTAATGACATCAATAATAATTCATCTGGCTCCTGTAGTGGCTTAATAAGACCTCTCATTCCATTTGTAATATTATAAAAGATCCCCAGACAAATAAAACATACACTGTACCAAAGAAAATACATACAAACATGCTACATGATGGAATTTGTTGAACTAATCAAGAAAGCACTCCTCAAATGGAAGGACAAACAATAAGAATAAAAATAACAATAATAATAATAATAATTAGGACTCTATCCTACGAGAAATGTTGTGCTTCCATGTCAACACCAGGGGGTGTAATTTTAAGTCATGTGTCCACACATCACATTATTCCCTGATTTAAAAAAAAATGCAGTCCAAACAAAACTGGCACTCTTGGCATTTGAAGACAGTCGTTGAGCTTTAAAGTATTACTGAACAGCAACACAAAGAATCTGACGATGTTAATTCAGGTAGTATTGAAAAACGTAGAAATTCCCCTCTGCCACAAAACCGTCAAAAGGCACGGACTTTTACTAAACATAAATCACTGTGGTCAGAACACCGAGTAGTGTTTAAACAGTAAGTGAAAAAATGTTACCACGTTATCGTCTAAAAGGTTTTACCCTGTTATGTTTTCAAGCGTTACTAAGAAACAACACAAATGCTGAGATTTGCTTGTGTATTATGGCCTCAACAAGGTACTATAAAGGTATATTGGTGCATTTAATTGCAATGTGTGTGTTTCAACACAGGAAACACACTGCTTATCCCTACAAGCTCATAACACACCTGATTATACCTGAAGTCCATGGCAAAATGTGTGAAATTAAATAAACAGGCTCTATATTTCTCTATAGTATAGTTTTCTTATTACTCTCTAATAACATGTAACTACACTAGACTTAGTATATCACCCATCTGAAGTTAGTTTGATCTATTTACATGATAATACTGCTGTGTTGTGCATTTGCATTATCCTGGCTGAAAAGCAACTGTTCAAGTGTGCATAAGTCTATGTATGCAATAACAATATTCATTAAAGGACTATTTCCAGAACTTCTTTAAGCGCTAGGAATATAAGGACTTGCGTTCTTCCCATTCTCTTCATTTGCAAGGGAAGTCTGCGATGCAAAGTGAACTCATGCAGTGTTTTTCAAACACTTTATGGGTACATGGTTTCCACTTGGACGGCAGATTCTTTCAAGAAAAAAGAACATTTTTTTGACAACAGACAATAAAGTTGAAGAAGAACTGAACTTCCCTGAAATAACCCTTAATAAATAACAATCACCTCAGGGAATGAGAGGAGAAGTTCTAGTGTGATTACAGTCAGATTTGTCATGTTTACTTCGTTTACATGTGTAGTAAACTCTGAATTGTGGTCTGGCTGGTTGTCTGGCTCGACAGGATTTGTAGAAAAGGTACAGGCGCCACACGCGAGTGTGGATGTCTGTGTATGCCTCTGTATGTGCAGTATGTACCTTTGTGTGCACATGTACAGTATGTGGGTGTGTCTCACACCCCGGTGGGGCTTCGGTCTCCAGAATCAGAGGAGGACACGGACACGGAGCAACGCCTTCTCTTGGCCGCGCCGGAGCCCTGGAGCATGCTGGGATGAAAGCCTGGATGTCGCCGGGCGTGTTTCTTCAGGTGGTCGCTCCTCATGAAGCACTTGTCACACATCGGACAGTTGAAGCGCTTTTCGCCTGTGTGCGTGCGATAGTGACGGGTGAGCTCGTCCGATCGGGAGAACTTCTTGCCGCAGCCTGCCCAGGTACACTCAAAGGGGCGCTCACCTGAAGGAAACACACCCAGTTTTTGTTTTTGTACATTTACAACTAATCATATTAACCAACCCAAACCACTCCTTCCTCGCCACAAAATCAATCATGTCATCATGTTACATTTGCACATTTTCTTTCCTTCTAAAAAGAAAACAAACTAAGAGTCGACCTTTTTTTGTGAAATCTATTATAGGACCTACTTTGAGTTTGCTGTGTGTGAACAAATACTCACTTTTTTAATACTTATTTTACAAAACATAAAAAAATCAAAATGATTATAAAAAGTCTCCTGTGGCACCTGCTTTGCATTCACACAAGTATGAGAATATGAAAAACACAGAGACCAACAAACAACCCAGAGGACTTGGAGGCTGTATTCTGCATAGCAACAATCAGAGTGGATGAAAAAACTTATTGTGATAAGAGGAAACAATCAAAACTAAAGCACAGACACACATTTGCGAGATTAATCAAGTGTGACAAGGAGAAGAGGGGGTGAAAATAAGACACAGGCTGCGGTCTGGAGCGAAACTAAGATCTGCTGAAAGACTGCTGCTAAGAACAATAACATGTTGACATCGGAGCCGTCAGTCAAGATAGCCCTGAGGTGAAACAGGGCACATTACCCCCTCAACAGCGCTTCCACGTGCTGAGCAGAACCACATGTCAGCTCTTGTTTACAAGCCCACGCGAGGGGAGTGGAGGTGGATGACGTATGAGGAAATGGTGGCGCAGTGTGCGTTACCTCCGGACAAGAACACGTGGGGACAACAGTGTCGCAGTGACCCGCGTGTGAATCACGACCTATTTAATGTGTCGGCAGATGTTCTTCCACTGTTACTCCGACTGCCAGTGCTGTATGATGAAGAGTGGTGGCAGGAACACAAAGCTAAAATCATTAGAGGCGTTATTGGGTCTCATGATGCCCAATGCTCCGGCGTCATTTATTACATCTCAACAATAAAGCTTCGCAAATATGGGCGTCCGCACGTGGTGTTTACCCAAGATCGCACTCTGGCCGCGTGTCCACAGGACGTTAAAACAAAGATTTCCTCCCCCTTGCCTCTCCACCTCTCTGCCAGCCTCTGGTCCAATATGTCCCGGTGAGTCACACCCCCTCCCACAAGTAGGCGATCATGAGACCACCTTTCCTATAATGTGGTTTTGCAGAAACACGTGGTCACGCCCCTAAAAGTCTCACAACACGAGACACAGGTCTGGACTCTTGTCCGTCACGTTTTACTCTTACTTTCTCGGTTAAAAGTCTTACGTCATAAATAAGAAAAATACGAAAAAGGGTCGAAGTGACGCAGAGCTGTTGGTATCGTGTCGCCTAAGCACCCAGCAAGCACCCCATCCCCTCTCACTTTACTTACCGGTATGGACCCGAAGATGGGCTTTAAGGTGGGACGACTTGCCGTACATCTTCCCGCAGCCAGCAAAAGGGCAGCAGTGTCTCTTCTCGGAGCACGGCAGTCTCCCCGCCGCCGCCGCCTTCGTGTTCCGGGGATGTTTGGCTTGGCTGGCCGGAGAGCCGCGGCTGTCCCCGCAGCTCAGGCGACTCCCCCACTCCGCTTTCTCTTGCGCGCCGGCCTCGCTGCCCCCGAGACATCTGTTTTCTCCGGCGCTGACAGCGTTGGGGCTGCATTTGTTCAAGTCCAGCAAAATCCTCGCCACCATCAGTAAAGTCCTGTTCTCCTGGCTCTCTTTCAGTACGTCCTCCATCCGCCCCGGCGGTGGTCGGCTGGGGACGCGGTCTGCAGAGACGTCGACTTCCGACGACATCACGATCCCTGAAGCAGAGCCGGGAGGACAGAAGCAAAACAATAGATCTTGAGAGGCGAGGAAAAACTATCCGACAACGCGGATACAGTAATCAGTCCGCAGTCCTCCCAGGAAACATGCGGTTAATCATCCACACGTGTCGTCTTCAATGTGACCACTCCGCGCAGACTGCGCTTTTCTTGTCGGGGTTGCGCGGAGGATAAATAAACGCCCCGCTCAGTAAAGATAGCGCTTTGAAAATGTTCCCCGGTTCCTCCTTTCTCTAACCTCCTTTCTCTTTCTTCCTCCAGATCCTTTTAATTCTAACGGACGAATCAAAATCACAGCGTTTGCCCACGGCGCTATTGTGTCCACGTCCCTGTGCGCAGACACACACGGGTCAACTTGTCCTATTTTACAGAGAGCAGCACTTTAGTTCAACTCCAAGAAACAATTTCGCGGAATCCCACTGTGTCATAATTAAACTGGACTGTGATTGGATGAGAAGAAACGTGACTCGGTTTTTGGGGGACTGCCTATTGACTAAAGTGAGTGAAAAGACCCTCGACTAATCACAAGACTGGGATTGGTGAAAAGGGCAAGACCACACTCATGTTACCTTCAGGGACTTAAGGAAAATGGTAAATATGGTTGTTAGAGTATAAAAATGGATTTGAGGAATCATTAAGAAAAATAGAAGTCCATGTAGATCTATATGTAGATACGTAAAAGTGTCGTCAATATACATGATAAAAACAAAAATCCAACCCTTTGTGATTTTGGATAATAAATACATGGAAAATGAATAATGAACATTGGTTATATTTGGTCAGATTTATAATTACATGCCTTTTTAATAACAAGTTTAATAATAATTACAAATTTATTTCTCTGAAGTTTAAGTTTTGTAAGCAATAAATGGTGTCCTTTCCTCTTTTCTGGATGATTTGCTTCAGTCACTTGTCTCTTTCATCGTTCGGTGATCCCACCTAATTTGACCTGTGTAATGTGTACAAAACACTTAAGTATCATCCCTGTCATTCTCTTACAGTCAAAGCTTTTCTGGTAATTTCCTACCCTACACAGTAACAAACAGCATGCTTTAGCACGAGCCAGCAGATTTTTTTTTTTAAAGATGACACAAAAAACTGTATATGTATATATATGTAAAATTATGAATGATCTGTTATGTATGGAAAAAATGGCTTGTGGTTATAGTTTGCCCCTGTGTTTTTACAGCTGCTAAATATTTACAAGTTCCACTTTAGAGGGCAGAAATATTGACACGTAAGCTTGTTTCGTGAGATAAAGGCATCTAAGATAAAGCTACTGTTTTTCTTACAGTCACACTTTTTCCGTGACTTTATAAAAACATTTTTAATGTTTACATTCTGATAGTTTCCTTAGTTTATGCTCACCCTAGAACTATGTGTTTCTTAATCCTGCCAAATTACTATTCACTATGAACTAAACGAGGCAGCACCTTTCCCTTGCGCCTCAACATTTTCAGACTACATGTTTCCCACTCTCTCTTAAAAGTTTGCTTAAAAAAAGAAAAAAGAAGAAAAGGAATGAGTATAATACTGCCAGCCCACTTAAGTGAAATAAGACCCCTTTAGTTAAAAAGTGCAGGGGGTGGTTCACTTCTGGTCAAAGTTCCTAGAAAATCCTCAGCTTAGGGGCTGCAGGGATTGAGCAATGTGAGCTCTTGACAGTTCTCCCTGACGTGAACTTTGTAGTCAATAGTTGGACACATGTTCTTCCTTGGTTTTGTTTTTCTGTTTACCCACAGAGAGGTATGGCCCTTCGTTTTTATAGGACAGGACTCGGTGTTCTCAAAATATGGGTTTGAACTTTGCCTGGTGACAAACAACACAAATGCATAATTCAGAGGAAGCTTACTGCCCCTCTGCTGCACGGATATATATATATATATATATAGATATAGCTCATATAGATTCATGTGTCTTGTGTTGAATCAATATGAAAAACAAGGATTATGAGGGAGTAGGATTCAAGCCAACTGCACAGAAATAACATAACAATAAGTTCTATTTTCTGCATCACAGAATAAAACTGTACAAGGACTTCTTGCTCTTTTTCCACGATCGCCCCATGCTGGAACTCCGCCCCATTTTGCTCCAGCAGAACCCCCAGATTTCCAGGAACAAAAATCTGGTTGAAACTAGGGTCTTGGCCAGATGAGTGTAGTCTCTGCAGCCACCCTCCCACTCCTCCTGCAGCAGAGCTGTAAACATTTCTGGGGAAGAGGAGGCGCTTCCTCGGCTGCCGCAGTTGCTGCTCCCCGCTTCCTCCTCGCACTAACGTGCAAAGAGTTCAATAGTGCACGGTGCATCTGGGTCATGTTGTTGTGGTGTCTTGTACGGCGATTGCGGCAAAGGTTGTTTTTTTTAAAGCGTGTGAGCGCGTGCGTGTCATGTAACCGAGAGGTGGTGGAGGAGGGCGCGCGCATAATCTCAGTACAAAATGTTCTCTTCCACGTGCGGAGTATGAGCTGACGCACCACTGCTGGCCCTCTCCCTTGTGCTAATATAGGCTACCCCGCCCCTCCCCGGTTTCCAAACACTCACAGCCCGGCGGACTACAGGCACAGCGCGGGCACGGCAGGGAGTGTAAAACCTTCACAGTTAATATGTAAAACCACGTTTGTATAAACCACAGGTGTCATGCAGGCCCTGGCCAATATGACATAAATATATTCAAGTACTCAGTACTCAGCTGATTACTGAAGAATTTCTATTACAGCTGAAGAAAGCGTGTGAAAATCATTTATACTCTGGGACCAGTTCCAGGCTTTGTTTTTATGGCAGTGTAAGAAGTTTTACAAAGGACAGTCAATGCAGGGGTTTGTTGCCATATCTGCAGAACAGCTTGATGTGCTCCAGTGCCTTATGAGCCTTTGTTGCCTTATGTATCCTACAAAGACTTTTTGTTTGTTTGTTTTTTTTTGATTAGTTTCTGCTTAAAACTAGAAGCTTTCAAGGTATTCTTCTGTGGGACCAACTCCCAGTTTGGATTCAGGAGACAGACACTCTGTTTTTAAGGTTACACTTAAAACTTTCCTTTTGACAAAGCTTAGTTAGGGCTGGATCCTGAAGCCTGGGTTCCCTTAAGAGGGTTAAGGGTAACCTGAGCTGCTTTTCTCACTCTACTACTGTAAGTCTTTACAATATCGCCCACCAAACACTGGATGTCGGATAGACGTGCAGATCATGTCTATATTGATCCATCACTTGTCACGCCGATGTCACTTTGCGCAGTGGGCAAGCTCCTTGAGGTGACCGCTGTTGTGATTTAGTGCCATATAAATAAAATTGAGGTGAGATACATCATAAGGGAGTCAAAGATGCTGATGTTCCTGTAGCCGTTTAACTTCAGAGTTTAAATCATTGTCCCAATCAGATATTGAGGTGTTATAATGTGTAGCGAGTGTAGGAACTTTCATTCTTCTTTTCTGAAGAGGGGAGAAAGTCAGTAGAAGCAAGACACAGGTAGGCAAGAGGAAGGTGGGTGTTAATGGTGAAGATGCAAGGAGCAGTGCAGATGGATGCATTTAAATACCTGTGTTAAACCATCCAAAGCAGCTGGTAGTGGTGAGGGCACTCAGTGTGCTGTCATTCATTGCTCGAGTATCCACATGAATTAAAAACAGACAAGACACAAATCTATTTAATTGTTTATTTAACAATGCATGCCAGACATGATCCTATTCACATTGAAGAATACAGATTTGTATTTGCATCCAAATACTCACTACTTTAATTTCATATTATAATCTCTCTCTGTCTTTCTCTCAGTCATCATTACACATCATCTCTGTACACTCTGAGTGGAAGAACTGCATGCATTTAAAGGACATTAAATAAAGTGTGACCAGTAGAGGGATAAGTCCCTTTTAGTTGAACAACATCAGAAGTTATTGCAGAAAAAACATGTGCGTGATACTCTAAAGCTTACGAGTCACAGGTTTCATAGGAGGGAAGCAAATCTGTTGATTATTATTATCACATATGCTCATGATTCCCCAAAACTTTAAGAGACAGTGTAGTAAAATATTTAAAAAATACTGTACATTAAGATTCTGTTGGGTTGTGTTGTGTTGGCATGCCTCCCAGTTATTAGTATCATCTACACTTCCGATTCACACGCAGTTTAATTAAACGCACGTACAAACATACGCACACACGCATGCCTCCTCTCAGTACCTTCCACAACAGTCTCGTCAGCATATCGCAAACACAATCATGTACAAACCTTAACAAGTTTCTACATGCTTCGGACTTGTATGCTCTCTTGTATATGAGGATAAGGAACTTTGAAAAGAGTAAAAGAGAATGTAAGGTCAAATAGCAGGGCATAAACTTTCATTCCAACGCGGTCATTTTGTTTTCTGACTGGCCCTGCAACGACTGAGGTGACCTCTGCCTAGTTAATCCCATCTGCAACAGCTGTGACTCAGCGTGTTTCCATTTGGTTAGACAGAGTTTGGTTTGGTTCAAAATGCAAGAGTCAACTAAGCATGACTGCAAAGACATTCCTCACTTTTGTTTGTACTGTTTGTGTTTTCAACTTTTGTGGTAGAACAAGTTGATCAGGTATGAAGACATTCATGCATTGTATTGCCATTTCTGAACACCTAAACACAAAAATATATAGTTTTTCTATGATCAAAAAGATTCTGGGTTAGACTCATTAAGCACAGTGATTATACTGGACTCTTTCTTTCTTTCTTTCAACGATTAACTTTCCATCTTGCATCACTGGGGTAATGTTGTCCCTGAGCACTGACCTTCATCTTTAAACTATGCTATGACTTTCATATGTGTTGAGGAAATTAAAACTCTCATCTTTTAGGTTTGCCATCCAGCCACTGCACACAATTGGGGTTAACTGCAACTTCTGTTGTGATTACAAGGTTAAAGGGACAATCTCCAGATTCTACCTAGAAAAGTAACTGGTCACGTGGTGTGGCGCTTTGCCCAGGACCACAGTTGTTTAATGTCTTTTGTAGCTCGCAAATTAAGAGACATCACCTGGGGGCTTTTAACAGTCCTGGATCATTAGATTTGGGTAGTACCACATGATTTAATCCAATTCGAGCAAGAAAGACCAGTTACTGCAATGACACCTACTGTTTATATCACATCCTCACCCTCGTTTTCGTGCGCAGGTTTGTTTGTTTTTTTGTCCTCCAAAGCTATTGTTGTCAGTGAGATCTTTTATGTGTTCTGGTGAAGAAATTCAAATAAATACCCATACAAGCAATGATACAGTTTACAGATAACAACAATTCCCCCACTCTGTACATCAGATGTGTCCAAAGAGAACAACAAATGTCTGTGAGAACATAACCACTGATTTTTTGGCCTCTTCACAACAGAAGACAAAGATGAAAAGAGGAAATTCACAGATTTATGAATCACTTCAGTCCCCACATACTCCATCCATGCCCAAAAG